TGATGTAAATGTTGGAATTGCAATGAAGAAGGACATATAAGTACTGAAGGCCAAAAAAGAAAGTTAGAATACTAATTATAGATTTTGAACAAATTAGGGATGAATGTGAAGAAATCAACTTTGAAGAAATAGTAACCGATGAAGAAATTTTTGAAGATAAATTAGATTTAGAAGAAATATATAGTGAAGACGAATAGAGAAATAGAAGAAATATAAAATAAAAACTAAAATTTAAAACTATTTCATAAAGTAAAAGTAAGGATATATTTTGCAATAAAATCCATTAAAAACTGACCTTTTACATTTTTTATGAAAAGTCTCCTCCGTCGCCGTCGAGCAGTACACGCCTAAGCTTCTTATCCACCGGCAGCAGCCACCGCCGCAGCCACTCACCACCATCAAAATTCATCTCGAAACCTCCATTTCCTTCTAGCGTTAAAACATTAAACATAGTAGAAAAACCGTCAAATAGATAATTAATCCAAATTATGATGATTACATTCAGATATGCAAGGCAAAGTGGAGCTTCCACCACCAGGTTCCTCCTCCCCTTTTCCACCACCGCCACCACTTCCATCCAGCCCTACCCTTTTTATTCGAACCCATTTTTTCCTTCCTCCATTAAATCCACCACTTCACTTCAGCGCGGAACGGGATACCCGTCAGAGGTCCAAGTAAACAATTTAGTTTTGTGCTTCAGAGATTGGTTCATGTCCCGAAACAACCCGTTGCTTGATTGAATCTTCGAAATCCTTCGTGCCCATGACGAATCTGCTGTTGATTCTGCCCATTCCCGCTTCAATTTACGTCTCTCCGAAGCCTTAGTCCTCGACGTATTAAGCTACGAGCAAAAAGATATGCTTTCTTACTTGAAATTCTTCGATTGGGCTGGACGCCAGCCCGATTTCTACCACACTAGAGCCACTTTTAATGCAATTTTTCGGATTTTATCCAAGGCCAAGCTAAGGTCCCTAATGCTAGACTTCCTACAGAATTATATGAAATGAAGGTATGTGCATAAAGTTAGATTTTACAACACTTCGATGATTGGATACGCTGTTGCAGGCAAATCTGAGGTTGCACTGGAGTTGTTCGGTAGAATGAGGTTCCAGGGCGTGGACTTGGACGCATTTGCAAACCATGTACTGTTGAATTCACTAGTCGATGAGGGATATTTTGACGTGGTGGAAATGGTGGCGAAGCAAATTAGAGTCTGGGCAATTCAGAATGAGGTAACACATTCGATTATGATGAAGAGTTTTTGTAAGCAGAATGAGTTGGAGAGGGCCGAAAACTATCTACGAGGCCGGTGGGAGATAATGGGATGGGATTGAGTGGGGCTGCGGATCGTATTTTTGTGGATGCTTTTTGCAAGGATAATCAGTTTGAGAAGGCTGCATTATTTATTGAGGAGTTCCATAAAATGAATTTGGTTTCGATGAGGGATGGGATTGAGTGGGGCTGCGGTTGGTATTTTTGTGGATGCTTTGTGCAAGGATAATCAGTTTGAGAAGGCTGCATTATTGATTGAGGAGTTCCATAAAATGAATTTGGTTTCGATGGAGTATGCATACAGCATGTGGATTAGGGACCTTGTTAAGGCTGGGAAGTTGGATAGGGCATTGGAGTTTTTGAAGGATAAACAGTCGGTCGAGGGTTATGTTCCTGATGTTTTTCGTTATAACTTATTGATTTGTAGGCTTTTGATGGATAATAGGCTTATTGAGGTGTGCGATTTATTGATGGAGATGAAGGGGAGAGGAATATTGCCTAATAATGTCACAATGGATGTAACATTGTGCTTCTTATGCAAGGCTGGAATGATGGATGTTGCCATGGATTTATATGATTCGAGGGCAGAGTTTGGCCTTTCTGCGAGTTACATGGCTTATAATTATCTTATAAATACTCTAGTGGGGGATGGTACTATTGATGAAGCATATCGTGTGTTGAGAAATTCAATAGAACATGGTTATTTCACTGGAAAAACGCCCTTCTCCATTATTTCTGATGCTCTTTGCAGAGAAGGAAGGCTCGATAAGATGAAACTCAACCAAGAACAACGTAAAGACCAGAATATCATGCCCAATGACTTGAACATGGCCAGCTTAACCAATTGAATAAAGTTGCTTCTAGGAGTACATATGTTCACCTGATCAATGGTTTTAACAAGTTGAGTAGAGCGGATATTACTGCTAGATTACTCATAGAAATGCAAGAAAAAAGTTTTCACCCTAAAAGGAAATTGTATAGAGACGTGATTTACTGTTTATGTCAAACAGATGATGCAGAGAAGCAAGTTTTCAGATTGCTAGAGATGCAGCTGGCTCGGCTTCAGCCTAGTTCACGTATTTACAATTTCTTCATTGATGGTGCTGGGCATGCCAGAAAGCCTGAGCTGGCTAGGCAAGTATATGAAATGATGACAAGAAGTGGTCTCTTACCGGACTTGAATTCTGACATACTAATGTTACAAAGCTACCTGAAAAGTGATAAAATTGCTGATGCTCTAAATTTCTTCCATGAAGCATACAAGAGGAGAGACCGTAGAAAACTCTGGCAGACCATGATTGTTGATCTTTGCAAGGTTAACAAACCAGAGCATGCATTGCAGATATTTGAGAATATGAACGCAAACAAGTTACCAAGTCTAGAATCTTATGAGGAACTAGTGAAGTTGTATTGTGATCATAGACAATACTATAAGGTTGTAGAACTTATCAATGATATGACTCAAATTGGGCGTCCTATTTCTTCCTTTATCGGCAATGTACTTCTGTTGAATTCTTTGAGAACTCGAAAACTATATGATGCGTGGGCTTGTTTAAGTCATGAGCAAAATCTAACACCTGTCAGTTGGAAATTGGGCCAGCTGGTTGGTGTTTTTTCTGGCTGTATTGAAGTAAACCAAGATATGGAGGATGTGGAAAAACAGATTCAGCAATCCTTCCCTCTAGACACCTACACTTACAATTTGCTTCTGCGAAGATTAAGCATGAAGGAAATGGACTATGCTTGCCAGTACCTTGATAGATTACATCAAAAAGGGTATGAGCCAAACAGATGGACTTATGATATAATAGTGCATGGTTTTGCCAAACGTGGTCAGATTGTAGAGGCTAGAAAGTGGATGGAAGAGATGTTTAGTAAAGGTTTCGATCTTACTGAGTACACCAAAAAAGTCATCTAGCATAAAAATCACTTTTTATTTATTCCGAAGATTACATATGATTCATCAGATGTACAACTGCCAAAAGCTTGGTGAGTTCATTGCATTCTTACTCACAATTTTCATTTCGTTTGTTGTACACTACTTTAAACCTGTTCTATATCAGCAAAATAATGCTTCTGGTATGTATTTACTCTTGTTGTTTTTTGATTCAAGAAGAAATTACAATAGTTATTTTTCTGCTTTTGCTACTTATTTGTTTCTATTTGACTCATATCCCAATGATGTCAGGTATGGACATATGTTAAGTCACTGTTCATATTAATGGCACTTAACATAGTTTTCATATCTTGTTTTATATCATGCATGAATAAGAATATGAAAAACTTGGATATATGCTTCTTGGTATTCTTGTTTGTCATTTATGGTTCTGTCAACTTTGTTTATTAGCATAATCTTAAGACTTAGAAATGTGAGGATTATATGATCATTTTATTTGATTGCTCAAGAATCACGAATTTAAAAAAATGACTTACTTTGTAGTTAATATTAGTCATGTAAGTGCACCGTATGAATTAGAATGGAATAAAATTGAATGATGTACCATAAGGTTTGTTTTTTGGCAAACAAACTGGATAGAAGCTTATTTGTCTCTAGCCTAGAAAGATTTTGGGAAAAAGCCTTTGCCCTAGGAAAATTCAATATTGTTTCTTTGAAAGTAAGCTAGATAGTAAAAGAGAAGTAGAATTAAACAAATAAAGATAATATACTATGAAGTGGAAAACGTACCACGTAGAGATTGGTAGAGACAACGGTTCAATTTTTAGGTGGAAAATAATTGGGGAATCATGTTTTAGATATTGAGTTCATCGATTTAAAATTTTAATTTTTTGGATATCATATTTTTGTAGTTCTTGGAATCTTAAATAGGAATTGGACTATTGGAATCTATTGGTATTGGCAGAATCTCTGTACAGTTGTGATCGTATTGTTGTTATTATGATCCTGTAACCTTTATCTGTCATGATCTTATTCCAAATTTCCAAGATATATTGAGATTAACTCAACTGTTATTGTTATTGTTGGTACCATAATTAACATTGTACTCAAATTGGACTTATTCCGGACATATCTGTATTCTCCACTAACCATTACTGCAACTCACTGTGTCCAATGGACATCCTGTTCTCTTTACTTTCTTTAATTAAATACCTAGACATATAGGTCCATATGGAGCTATGAAATTCTTTATGCGCGCACACATATTCATGAAATTCTATCTCCTGGATATGGGAGACTATAGGATTCTGTATCTTTTATTTCAAAATGTAATTAGTTTCCCATGTCAATTAAATACTTGAGTAATTTTTAACAAGTGTCAGACTTTACACCTCTCACCTTCTTATGTGAATCAATTGCCAGATTATTGGACTTCTCGCCGTTTTGTTCTTGTATATCAATCTTGTGTAAATTCATTGGCTTCCTTAAATTTTATTTGGCAAACTTCTTTTACGTTATATGAAAGACTCTATAATTTCTAAAAGGAATAATGTATAATGTGAAGTGTAATATTATTGGCCATAGTATTCTGATTATCTTTAATATTTAATTTCATATCAAGCAATTTATAGTGGAACATTTTTATCCCTACTCTACGTAAAATTATTTTATTAGAAAAATAGTGGATAACAATAATCTCAGCCTTATTCCCATCAATTATGGAGCCTACATGAATCCCTTTTTTCAAGAGTAAACGGGAAAACGATAAAAAAGGGGAAATTTTTTATTTTCGGGATTTGTTCCCTGAATAGTAAGTTTTTCAGTTTTTTTCCTAGCTTTTGGTATCACCTCAGTGTTTCGAGCAAAATGCCTCTGAGGTATAGTCACATTTACCAAGATTTTCCCAATTTGATATTTTTTCCCATCTTCTCCCATAAATTTAGTTCAACCATACAACTTGTTTCTTTTTTCCTCTTACTTTCCGGGAAACAGACATAGCTAAGGTCCATTCTTCATTTGCAAATTTTGTGAAAGACTTCGCATTTTGTGTTTAAATGCTGTCCAGTTGCTATTCCCTAGCATTTTCTTCTTAGGTCATGTTTCTAGGTGCTGAGGGTTGATATTTCTAGATACAGTAAATGCAGACCTCGACAAATCTGTACCATATCCCCCTTTACCTTAAAAGAGGGGATCCAAAATCACTATTCATCTTGAAACCGAGGTTTCACACCACTGTAGCCGAATGCGTTTCATTCACTGTTCATTTCTCTGCATTCGTTTTCACACTCAATCCAGATACCTACTGTTCACAATACGTTCTCTTATATTCTTTATTATCAATCTTTATTATCAAGCTTCTCAAATCCGTTTCATCTCTAACCACCTTCTTCTCCACTCCATCGCTTCTTCTTCTTCTCTCCATGCATCGCGCCTTGCTTCTCCTAGACGTAGCCTTATTTGCAGCTCCGGATCCAAGAGAGTCAAAGAAAGAAGCCCTAGAAATCACCTTTTCATATTCTTCCCTCTCTTTCACAGAAATTTTTGCAGGTGGGAGCCCGTTTAGTCTTCTTTTTCCTGCATCATTGTTTACATGCTACCCAAAATATCTCTCTCATATAACGTGTATTTTGATTTCTATCTTCTCACTTCGTGCTCTACTTTTGGAAGCTGGTAAACCGAGGTTTAAATTACAGATGGGTATAGTAAGTACAATTTTGAGTGTTTTCGGGTACGGGATCGGATTCGGGGCCTCAATTGGGCTTGTGATTGGGTATTTCATGTTCATCTACACCCAACCAATTGATGTCAAGGTCAGTTTTCTTTTTCCTGCATCATTGTTTACATGATTCTATATATTATTATGTTACATTTGATCATTCTGAGAATTATCTTTATCTGAAGTTCTTTCCTTTTTTTTCCCTTCTGTTGTTTGTTATTTGTTCTTCAATACAAAATTGGAGTTTGATAACGTGGGAATTACTGATGGGTATGTAATTTTAGGCGGCATTTCTGTATATTGGTCTAAAGGGAGGGTAAAATTTCAACACTTCTCTTGAGAAATTGTAGTTAACCCTGACTACACCTTCCTTGGAATCCAGACCTGTCGCCATTTGAGAAAAAAAGAAAACTCGGAACTGAAGTTCGAGAACAATGGACTATTTATTGGTTTACACATCTGCTTGAACTATTAAAACTATCAACACAAGGGTGTTTTTTGCTTTTGCCAAAACTCTTTATTATTTAAACATTTTATTGCACTGTAATTGAAGGAAACAAATCAAAGTTTAAGAGACAATTTCAATTAAGTAAACGATTCATTAACACTTGAACTAATTTTCTCAGTTGACCTTTAATTAAACCAGGTGAATCACGATAATGTGTTATTCATTGTCCAAATGTGCATTTCATAGCTATTAAATTAGACATGAAGTTCCATATAGCTTTAATAGAATTTGTTACCATTAACTGCTTCTCAATTCTTTTCTAGAGCTTGATAGGAGTCTATTACAAAGGCACTGATAGTTTCTCTTTGTCAGTTTACTTTTCAATACATTTTTGCTTGATTTATTTCATATTTTCTTGTATTGTTGCAGCTATGGGAGGTTCTTTCTTTGGCTATGATCTTGGTGTTAGAGATGAGTTTTTCTTGTTGGGTTCTCAAATTACGAAAAAGAAAAATTGGATTCAAAATTTTGTATATTGAGTTTTTCGAATACTCTTAAAAGGATCGATTTTTATTTTTTATTTTTATGTAAGCATCAATAGACGTGTCTGAATATTTGAGTGTTTTTTCAGGATGGACGACTTCTATGGATGATTTCCTCATTGAATTCTTTTAGACAGTGTACAAAAGAAAATAAGCACATCTTGATATAATAGATAACTGTAAATATGACAATCAGATCCTTGCTCTGTTTACATCTTCGTTATACTTGGCAGCATTAATCAAGATACTGAAGGAGAAACTAATAATTTTAAGTAGGAATTGGAGAAATATAGTGAAAACCCATTAATTTTCAGTTTGGGGACTATTAGTTTCAGAGTATGTTTGTGATTTCTTTGAAAAAAATAATTTATATTTACAACTGCCCATATTCATGTTTGAAGTTACATTATTTTCGATTATAATTATTGAATTTTTGTGCAATCCTTGTAAATTAGCTGTTTTTCTACTTGGTTTGACTTGGAAATATTTGTACATTTGTAACTATAAACCAGGTGCTCACATTCCCAATACTTTGCTTTGCATTTGTTTCTTTAATTCTTGCACCTGATTGGAGCAAACTTTCGAAAACGCATGGTGCAACTTCAGTGGGTCAGGTAGTCAATCACACTGTTATTTCTGATTCCCTTTAAAATAGTCCTTGGTTTCTACTTATCTAATTAGAAATATAACTCTGATTCATGGAATTTGGGTGTGATCCGAACTCCTTTATTGAAGAGTTTGAAGTATTGAAGAATTCTAATTGAAGTGCACGCTAAGGAGAATTCAAGTTTGGAATGCTATTGGAGTCTTATGTCAAGTTGAAGTTCTATTTTCGAAACTCATTGGGAGTTGGAAATTTGGTATTGGACTTGAAGAAGAGTTTGAGAAGGAGAAAATAATTTTTAAAAAAAAATAATTATTTTTCGGGCAGATGACGCCATGTTTTGTTTCGTTTTTCCGCGTTTTCTTCTCCTATTTCGTTTTGATCTCGATTTTTTGGCATCATACTTCATCAACAACTCTACTAAGAGGGTTTGAACGTCTCCTACATGTTCCCTATAAATATTAGGCTCTTCTATATAATTTTATAAGTGAGAAAATAGATTACTAGAATGATAGGATCCATTGTAATTTTATCTCTTCTTCATTATTATTGAGTCAATAAAATCTCTTAATTCCCCAACCATATTTCTTGTCATTATTAGTCTTTTGCTTGATTAAATACTTTATTATTGTGCCATATAATTTCAATATCTCAATCAGGTGGTTGGTTTCACAACAAGTGATATCAGAGCTATTCTGATATCTTGTTTGTTTTACAACATAAAAAATAAGAGTAGGAAATATATATATATATATATCTATGTTTCTTGATGATTATCACTTTATTTCATTATCCCATGGATTACTTTTTCACCAAATTCAGGACTAATGTCATTTGTAATATTTCCATTCGATAGTTCTTGGAGATGGGATTTTTGCCTGGGCCTATGGTGAACTATCTTGCGTTATTGGGATGGGATGATGGTACTGAGATTGAGTTTTTTACACTTGACCAACTTGGTTAGTTTCCAAAATCTGTGTTATACATGTAATGCTTCTTGCAACTTAAGCTGATAGATATCATTATGTTTTATTAATGTAAGGACTTCAAAATCTATCATGGTTTGCAGTTGAAAAGTTAACAATTGAGCATTTTAAAAAAGTGGGGCTAATTTTGATTCTGCAAAGTTAAGGTAAGTATGGAATTTTTAGACATTACATAATTAAAAATTCTTTATTCCACTTGCAATTCAATATAGCTGCAGCCACTTGGGATTCTTTGTTAGTTTTACACATTTCTTCATAGTAATATCATTTTTGTTACTCTAATAATTATGCTTGCAAAGCATTATTGTATTTTATGGATAGAAATCCTAAACAATCTGAGGCAACTGAGACATATACCTGTAAGTATAATTTTCACTGCTTCAATTTCTTCCTCTTCTGTATATTTCTTACGGTCTCTTTAATTATATTGCTCAATTTGCGATTTATATTTTTTCATTTTTTTCGATCTTTTTAGAAATTGAACCCAAAATACCTAAAGTTTGTTCCTTTGATGTTTTTGTTGTGTATTCTTTATTGAATCCCGTTGTGTATATGTTTTTCTATTTCTACAGAAGTGGGGTTGAATATGGGATTTTTTTTTTGTTTGATCTTTTGAGAGATCAAACACAAAATACCTATTAGAGGGGAGAAGATTGAGGCTGACCCAAGTAAAGGCCTGATTGATTTCCAGGTACACATCATTTTTTTTTTTTTTTGCTCTTGAGGATCAGTGATCATGTTAGAATAGTTGAATCAGACCATTCTTCATCTTCAGTAACTTGTTCTTTGAGTTGTAATCCGTGTAAAAACTATTTTAAATTGTAATAAATGTAGATGATGCTTCAAATTGATCATAATTTGTAGTGAACTTGTTGTCTTCTATCGGGTTATAAGAATGTCATTTCTTGATGTTTTCATGTGGCGGAACATGCTAGATTATATGGGGAAAATAGTGAGTACCTTGTTGGAATGGTGCTTTAACTTTATTTTCAAGATCTCCACTGTGGTTGAATTCAAGATGGTTAGAATATTGTGTTATGTTATAAATATACCTATTTGGTTGCAAGTTATACTGAATTTGTTTCAGCCCCCTCTTGATGAAAGAAACAAACTTTACAATTACCTTTTTAGTTGACATGAGACCGCGGATGTCGAAGTTGAGTGTTTCGATTTAGTGAATAAATTAGAGTTGAGTTGGAACGCAAAAAAAATCGACCAAAGAAGAAATTGCAGTCGCAATGGGATTCTCTTCCTACTCTCTAGGGCTTCAAATCTTGAATGTTGAGGTACATCCCTTTTAAGCACTATTTGGTTGTCCTCAACTGCATTTTGCCGGAAGTATTTCAAGGTTTTTAGGCGCATCCCCAATTCTCTCCAACAAATGAAAATAATATGGTAATGCATTTTTCTTCATTCTTTTGCGTCTTTTTGTTTGTAATTTAATTGGATTTGGTTTCTTTTGATTTCACGTGCAGCTGTTCTTCTTGTACTTCAAGGATTTGGTGGGGGCAATTGAGCCCTACGGGGAACCCTTCATTCTGTAGATCAAGACAAGTACCCTCACATGGTAATCCTCTATTCTTATTTTCTCTAAATTTAGAAGATCTCTAAATTTCCTGTTTCAATTACCTATAAATAATTATTTAGCAAGTTCTATTTAGTGACCAATGAAATTTATGTGCTTTTGAGGAGAGTTTTGATTTAAGAGATTTAGTTCATGGTCTTCGAAGCGAGTTGATTTTTGCTACTTTTCCATATGTCGAATTTTTGAAAATTTTTGAACAGTGCAGACCTTAAAGGATGTAAGTTTAGTTCTACAATGAAATGCTCAATTTTATGAGTTTCATTTGTTTCCAAAATGTGTAATTAGAGATCTTTGTTATTTGTGGTTTCAATTTATTTTGCATTAGGTTTTCATGAGTTCTCGCTTTATGTTTAAAACAATTTTAACATATTTCAATTTCCTTCTTTGTTATGATGTTCTTATTTAGAAATGTAAGCAGGTCTTTCATAGATTTTTAATCAACTATTATGCTAGGTTTTTGTAACTCCTCATTCATCATGTGTTTTGTTTCAGTTTCTGACGAAGAATGGAATATATGACTTTTGGAATTGGTTCGAATATCAGCAGACCTGGTAATGGCTACTGTTGATGGTGCTCAAGTGTTTCTCAAAATATTTGTTAAGCTAATTTTGATTGTGCAGACTCATGAAACTCTTCTGAAGCATTTATTTCATTGTGAGTTCTCTTTAAATTTTTTTCCTATCATGGATAAATGTGCCGATTTTCTTGAATTTAAGCCATCTCTCCTAAGATGATGGAAATTATTATTATTATTTTTTTATTTTTTTTCATTTCATTGAACTTTTCGGCAAGTACAATGGTCATTAAGTTAATAGAATTATTTTATTTTCATTAATTGATTACAAATGATAAAAGGAAAAACAACATGCTAATTCATTGTTAGAGTTCTTCAGCAGAATATACGAACTGAGGATGCATATTTAAGTCCACAGTGTCTTCTGCATTGATTTGGAATCAATACTCTAATTGTCTTCATTTATTTCTTTATAACTTATTCATTTGTCAGAGATTAATTTGAGATCAAAATAAAGTAGTCTATCTTCTTATTTTACTTTCAATGACTGTTACTTGTTCGAAGATTTAGTTTTTGTTTCTGATATTATTTTGATTGGTTCATGGGAGAACCAACCAATGAGATGGGCAATGAGGTTGAGGGTGGCTTTATATTTAGCACAGCACTAGGCTATTGCAATAGTAAAGGCCGAGCACTATATCACGATCGCAATAGTTACAGAGTGTTGTATGATCAAGTACTTCAATTCGCTTATTATTTCCCAAGTATTGTCCACTAGAGATTTATAATTACTTTTCTATTGTCCACTACTAACTTTTTGTCAGCATCGGCCAGGATGGTAATCCCAGGCTTTCACGCTTTGGACTAATGAAGAACAGCAAGGATGGAAAAGAATACATTGCAAACTTGGCTTTTCTTAGTTTTCCTTTGGCTCTAGAATATTTATTTTCTTGTATGCTTAGTTGGATCTAGGATGGGTAATTATGTCTATGAACATTTACCCACCTATTTTAATACAAATTAGGTCCGTCAAAAATCACACTGTAAAACCTCTCACTGGAAATAAAATACTCAATAAGATTTGTAGAATGATTTGATCAACCTTCTGATTTGAAAGTCAATGAGAGCTTCCCGTTCCCCATTGTTTTTCCATGGAAATGATCCGCTTCAGATGCTCAGAATGAAGCTATGGATAATCAGCAGAGCACGGTTGAGTTCCCCAAGGATAATCCAATACCAAGTGTGAAAGCTCTGGCGTTCTACAAATCTAGCACTTTCATGGTTGATGTTCAATATACTGATGTGAGTGAATTGAAGGCACCAATAAAAATCATCACTTACACGATAGTTTTTTGTGCATTTTAGTCAATTATGTCCTTGAATATATTATTTTTCGTTTGAAAATCATTCTATTTATGCTATTTTCCTATCCGAGGTACAGATTGGACCCTTCTATTCCTAAGGTACAGATTGGACCCTTCTATTCTTGAGGTACAGATTGGACCCTTCTATTCCACAAAACGTTAAAAATTGAAGATCAAAGTACGCTTAAATCTGCATGGTATTATTTTGTTTGAATCGGTAACTGTAAGTCTCTCTGTGTAGAACTATTTGAAGTATTCTGTTGAATATTTTCTGAACTATAACGGCCCTGTTGGAATATAAATCAGCTCTTGGAAAAGGAGGTGGAAGTTCCGGTTGTCAAAGACTCAGCAAATGAACTGTCCAGGATGGAAACAGACGAGGTTGCTGTCGATCCTACTCCCCAGAGTAGTACTAAAACTAACATCAACATGGAAGATGCTAAAGGCTCTACTGATATCCCCGGTGCTGAAAATGGTGTACTAGAATCGGGAGAAAAGCCCAGTCAGTTGGAAACAGATGCCATGGTTAGTTAGCAATTATCAATGTAAACCTGGGAAGTTGTTTGGTCTTATTTATTAGTCTCTTCTGGCGCAATCCATTAGATATTTTCACTTTTCTAGATTTCTTTTTCCCCAATTGCAGGTTGTTGAGTTATTGGTTCAATTTCCACTTACATGCTCAATTCTTTGTTTCCCCTTTTTCGTTATTTTACATACGTGATGATAAAAGTATATGTCGGCTGTGTCTGCTTTTGGGTTCATATTTTAGGGTTGATGAATAGAATACAGATACTTTACATGTCATATTTATTTTTGTTCTTACTTAGAGAGGGTGCTTTGGTACAGGCAGGGACGAACCCAGCGTTGAAACTCAGCCCGGGCAGACGTCAACGTCGACCTTTTGACTTAGAAACATCACAAGTTATTCATGCATTTGCTCCTCCTCTTCCAGCAGCATCGCGCCCTCTACGACTCCATGGAAAGGCTGTCACAAAGTAAAAGTTTTTAGTAAGTAGTGCAATATGTCAGCATCTTTGATGGCCAAATGATAATCCATAGAAGTATTAAACATCTATACGTACATATTTGACTTAGAAAATAGATTTGTCACTCTCCAGAAATTTGACAGCAAAAAATTCACCAAGAATAATGTGTTAATTTAAAAACAATTAGAAGCAATTAACACACCTCGAGCAAATGGTTGAGTGTTCACTTCTGGGTTTTTTGTTGGCTTTTGTTCACTATGCCATATCAATTTTGAAAATGAAGCTAGTGTCGAAAATGTTGCAGGTACAACTTTGGACAGAATAGCTCCTACTAGTGATCTGCTCTTGTCCTCTGAAAGTCTTGAAATATGAAACAAAAGATCAATTAAGGTGGACAATGCGGAAACTGTAGAACAGTAGAAGCTATAGCATAATGAAAACAGAAACTGTTATCCACCAGGATTGGAAGCTCCAGGTCAGCAGTCCACATGGACATCCACGTAGACAAGTCAATGAGGAAGCCAACGCATACAGGGTCGACGGATGCTCCTACGTCCGAAGCTCCTTCGTTCGAAGACTGAAGCTCCTACGTCCGAAGCTCTTTCATGCAGATGCATAGGCTCTTGAAAATCGAAGCACCGAAGCTTAACACATACGTTTCTTCATAGCGAATTCGAAGATCTTACAGGAATGATTGACGTGACATCTGCCATAGGGTATCTGTAGCATTAATGTGTGTCAGTAAGCCAGTCTACAAAGTAGAACAGCGGATCTCCTACGAAACAATAATTGTAAGGATTGGACATTGATGTGAAGCTTCAGTCCAGGGGATGTCGTCACGTGGATTTGATCTAACTGTCACCATGTCAATTAGATTAGTATAAATAAACCCCTCATTGTACAGAGAGAAGGGGATTTTTTGGGGGGAAGGAAATGCATTTGGCTTGGTTTGATCTTGAATAAGACCACTTGTATTAAAATTCATAATGTATCGTAAGATATTCTCTTTTATCTATCCTTCCACATATTCCATTACGCAATAGATATTCATTTTAGGAAAATCGATCTAGCTCTTGTTGATAGCGCAAGGGCTGTTTAAATAAGACCGTCAGAACTTGAACGGTTGTGTCTCTTGCTGGATAGCACCTCCCACATTCTTACCAACCGTACTACTGCTCCTGTTCCGGTAGAAACGCGTCGGATCATTGCTTGGCGTAACAAGAGTGGGCCCGATATCTATTGAGTTCATTTTTTGGGGTCAACAGAAACAATAAATTTTCCAGGGCGTGGGATTCTATAGAAATTATAACCGAAAAGCTCACAACACTAACCTAAATGCTGAAATTACGGCATCATATCCAATAGTTACTGCACAATAGTAATGTTGAGTGTTGATTGGACTGTCCAACAATAAAAGCAGCTGAATTGAAATACCAGAATAAATTTAGAAAGCTGCAAAAGACATTGGGTTTTGAACATAACAAAGTCATTAGCCACAGAAGGGAGGAATAGGAAAGAGTGAAAGCAAAAGATGGATGGGTAATAAGAGTACTTAAAAGAAAAACATTATTCAAGAGTTTTAACTGTCTTAATTGATGAGCACTGTGATTAGTACTCAAAATAATATATAAAGAGAAAATCTATAGTATTTAACTACCTGGATTTCCATAAGAGGTGGGGGCACGACACCGATAATAGCAGCATCAGAGCATGGCCCATATTTGCTAACATTCCACAGCTGGTAAGGAAGCCTTGTAAAAGATATTTCAGAATCCTCCGAATCTATCTTATCAAACCTCAAAAACCTTATAATTTTTGAGCCCTCAAAGTCACTTTCACTCTCAAGTCTCAATAATCGCCCAATCCGAAGAAGCACTCCAAATCCCTTTTCGATCGATTGAGTTTATTCGAAAATACCCCTCAATTTTCCCAGAATTTCATCCGAGAAACCTTATTATCCACCCCCATATCAAACTCACTCCAGCAGCCCTCGCTTTGAATTCTGAAAAAAATTTACTGTACCAAAGTGTCAATTACAAGCAAGCAATCGCGGGACGTCTCTTGAAGACTTGAAGTTGTTGATGTCATGGAGAGATTGGAGAAGCCGAGAAGGTGAAGATTTGTGAATTTAGGGATTGATTTCAAAATTAAATTTGGAAATTTTGGGGGCTATATATTATATAATTAAGGATTGGGCCCAAACAAATGGCCCAATCCAATTAAAAAAAGATGTATTAAATGGGCCGAATTGGTTCAAAACAAAAAATGATGGGCTGGCAAAATTGGCCCAATTTCAAAACCAAAAAAAAAAAAAGGATGGTAGGCAGCAGCCCAATTTCAAAACAAAAAACAAAAAAATGAAGAAGATGAAGAAGAACCAGCAGTTGCCGGTGGCGAAACTCCCAATCTGATCGGTTCGGCAGAGCCCAGAACGCGCGTCGCTCCTCCTGGTCGAGTGCTGGGTCCGTCTTTGGGTACAGGGGCAGACCCCCTCCCACTGGACCCTTAAGTTTTTTGCTTGCACCCATTGAGCCCTTAATTTTTTGCCTTGAAAAAAAAAAGCCCACCCAACTACCCAAGTCTAAGTCTTTTAACATTTTGAAAGAAGCCCACCAATCCCTTTCTCTTTCCCTTTCCCTCGAATTCTCAATCCCTTTCCTTTCCCCCAATTCCCTTAATCCCTTCCCTTTCAATAACCGATTTACCAAGAGATGGGGATCTTCAAGAAGCCAAGGCTTTATTGGAATACTCAGGAACAACTCCGGGTCCCTTATATTTGGGAAAAAATTAAGAACATTTGTCGTATATTGTGGATTGGTGCTTCCAGAAGCCAGACCAACATGGATGCAAGGGAGAGAGGTTGGAAGGGAAATTTACAAAACCTGGTTGGGTTATTCGTCCTGGAGCAATCAGGTTGAATGGGAAGTGTTCCTTAACACCCTTAGAGGTAATACCTTATATACTTTGATCACTTTCAATTTTCTTCCTTGTTATTTTTCTTCCTTGTGCATTGTGTACGAAAGCGCATGCCTTTTTATTTTTCTACGATTTTTAGCCTATTGGAAGATAACCAATAAAATTAGAGAAGCTAGAATAATGAAATTTTTATTCAAATGTCGAACGGAAATCTGGAGGTATTCAAATTTTTTTCAACTAAGCAGAGTCTGTCAATATGGAATGTTTTCTATGTACACAGATTTTTCACAGAAATCTTTTAAGCAACTGCAGAATTGCTCATTTAGGACGAGGCCTTACAAGTTTTGAAGCTCAGCTTTGCCTCAAACTCGACAAGTTTTGAAGCGATCAGACCTTCGTTCAACGCATTCTCAACTTCAAATATGTCTGGTTCTTTCATTCTTTCCTCTTCCTCCATTTTTAGGTTAGTATACTTGATACTTGATTTCTCACGTCCACCCGACTTCCTTATTTATGATTGTGGATTTCCCCCCTCTCTTAATGTTGGTTAGCAACCAACTTAATCCATTCTAGATTAATCTATGTAGGTAAATTATTAATTAGTATATTCTAGATTTATCCAGCTTTGGTGAAAATTCTCGCCCCCCCCCCAAACCATAATCCTGGGTCCACCCCTGCAAACTTTGGTATATTTCCCTTTTTTGGGAAAGTTCTATCTTCTTTTGTGTTCATCATGTGAGAGGGGGAGAGAGAGAGTGGACTTTAATGAGCTATTGCGCTCTCCGAGAATTTATTATTTCTTGTCGTCTGTTTGTAGAAAAAACATGTGAGTGGAATCTTTATTTTCATGGTAAGTTTTGTTCTCACCATGGAATTCGCATTCTTTACGCCTATAGGCAGAGGCTCCAAAGAAAAAGGTCAAGAAAACAAGTTTTGCCGTATCAAAACTGGTGTACAGCGAAATGGCTATTGTTGAGTGCAAAAATTCGTAGAGAATGAATTTGAGATGGCTTTGCAAGATTATGTTATGGAGGAAACAAAAGATGAGAAGAATATTGTTGAGGTTTATGTTTATGATATGAGAAATAAGGTAACTGTAGGACCATTAGATGGTTTAATGATTCTTTATTAGTTGGGTACTGACAGTTCTACTTTATATGTAGCTTAATGATAAATATCACGAGTTTGTGACGAACTGAGAGAGAGAGAGAGAGAGAGAGAGAGAGCAATTCATTCCTAAACTCCAGTAGGTCGAGGATTGGTTATATGAGGGCTCTACCCCTGCTACTGTCCCTGCTCCTGCATACACATAACAGAAAGAAACACAATGTTTGTGTATGTTTGAATGGACACAACTTGCAGTCTTAACAAATTGTGATTTCTCGTATTCCCCAGGTTTTGAGCTACTGTGTGGAAGCTAAGTCTTGGCCGAGAGAGAAAACGTAGCATCACGATTCACTTCCAAAGTATGCAACACCAGTCTTTTGTCCGGACAAATTAGGTAAAAAGCTGAAGTTCTCGACAGGTACCATCTCTTAAATGGGCAGTAATTATGAGTTGGTTTCCCATTTGACATGTTTCTAATCTAACTGCTTTGCTTCTTTCTTTGGTTTGGCAAATTTGCATGAACCCATATGCATATTTTGTAAGCCAGAGCTAAGATTTCCTGATAGATTTTATTGAAATTTAGAATCTCAATTAATGAGATACTAATGATAAAGGCTTCCCTACTCAATGAGGAGAGATATAAGGTCGCCAATCTATTATCTTAGTAGCAAGTTAGTGTCGAACCTTTAATTATAGTCGTACAACAAGTAATGAAAATAGAAAGTGTCCAATCTCTGTTAAATCGTCACAAGACCGCGTGGTAACATGCCTCACATAAAAAATATGGGCACTGGAAGCAAAATTTATCTTCATATAGTTGGACATGTGAGATCCACGTAAATGATTTAGCGGAGATCTCTATAGCACAGACACTTCAATTAGGGTAGCGTGTTCGTATCCGACACGAGTCGATACCGACACTTCTTGGACACTCCCGTAATCATTTTTCTTTTTATATTAGAAATATTATATATTGTTAATTCAAAGTTATTAGCAAGTAACAAATAGATACTCATATTTAAAAGATTTCAACAAGAAAAATTAATAACAAGTATAAAACTAAACTTATACTATATAAATGAAGAACTTTTAAGAGTTTAATTAATGTGTTGATGACGTGTCATGTCTCTAATTTTTTTTTTAAAAAAACTGCGTGTCGGTGCATCATAGGAGGAGATTTAGACAGTCATCGTGAATTGAATGTACAACTATAATGAGAGGTTGTCGACCAACTTTCTACTTAGGCAATAGGTTGGAGACCAACAAGGCAACATTCCCTCTGAATGGATTTGTATTGATGATTTTTGTTTCTTAAATCTTGTCATTACCACTGACAATCGATTTCTTTCACAGGCCTTGCAGACTGATAATGAAACACCTTGACCATCGTCCTCTTAAGGAGGTGATTCACCAGCTCTTTGAAAGAGAAACGAGCAATCTTTTATTTTTTTATCCTTCAAAGGCTAATTACACATAACAATGTGCATTGTGCAAAAAATGGATTTTCTACTTGCCATGTTTGGGCTTCAGGAACTTCTGTGATTTAACTGATTCATCTTCGTGTCTGTTTTAGAATGCCTTTTCAATTCATAATGACGCATACAAGTTATGCTATTACCTTATAGAAGGAACTGAAAACTATCTCATCCTTTTAGAGACGTCATGATTTTTTTAGAACAGTAACTTTTTTGCTTTAAATAAAATGAAATTCTACCATATGTGACAAAATATAATTCAAATAGCTGCTTTCTTCCTCAAAATGTGACCCATTATTCAAGGAATATGTTGTTATTGATGAAAGGGAAAATTGAGATTATACGGTTCTCTTCTATATGATTGTTGAAATGTTTTGCGTATATGTCTCGTTTTTGGAACAAGAATCTATGTTTTAAAACTCCCACTGGATTCCATTGATTACTTGTCGTTGCTTATGAAAATATTTGTTTACACTGTTCTAATACACATGTGTTACGTAAAACCCGCAAGCGTACGAGATCGTTGTACAAGTAATAAAATATGTGAGTTGAGTATCGTTCTCACGAGGAATACGGTCTAATTTGTAGTTCAATAGCTACTATTGAATTCGAAGTGTGATGAAATCAAAAGAGATAGTTCGTATATTATTTATACTAATCCTAAACTAATAAAACAAATGAAGTATTTATTTAATATATAAATGTTTGTATTGGAATCGTGAATTCCCATATTGTCATTTAATTCAATTCTTAATTCATAATCTAGTAAATTTAGGTATTCAAGACAATCGATAATCCACTGTTATTCAATATTTTTTCCAAGATATATTAAACATATGTTTAACACGACCCAGTCATATTTCTGGTCTGAATTCATATGAAAAACATGCAATAATTCACAAGATTTATCACATATGATTGCACATGTTATAGATATTATTCCTAATATCTATTGTTCATGTGTTGATTTTACCTCGTTCTAGACTCATTGTGAGTATTTCTGCACTACAACAAGTAAATTATTATTTAATTGGTGATCAAGCAATTAAATAGTTTAATGGGAATGAAAAAACAATCAAGAAAAATCAAGAAATACTAAACTAATTGTTTTGAATTAAAATAAATAAACAATATGGTTCATCATTCATCCAATGCAATGAAAAATTTAGCCTAACATTCTTATAATTAAATTACACAAGAATAATTGAAAAAATATCACCCGAAAATAAGAAAGATGGAAGTAGGAGAAATCCACATTCTTGGCTCAAATCTTGAAACCGGGCTATGAATCTTCAAAATTATTGTATGATTCGCCTTGAATTGATGTATAAACTTGTTCTTCGCTTCCAAAATATGTAGAATATGATGAAATTTAGGTTGAACGGAGGTCTCATGTATGTATTCTGCTGTTAGGTATTTGTAGGAGTAGAAAATTGGTTGAAAATCACATCCAAATTGATTTTCGAAAGAGTTCCAATCGAATAAGGAAAGTTGCATTCGCGCGCGGATTTGTTTGTCTCTGCACAACATCTAGTATTTTGGCCATAACTTTCTTTCTTGATATCCGATTGGGGCGATTAAAATTGCATTAGAAAGATAATTCAAAGGCCTACAATTTTACTAGAAATAGAATATTTCTAATTCGGACGTTTACTATGCCAAAATGGGTCTCAATCATTGACCCAATGGTGAACTTCCAATCCCAAGAAGTATGTGAGTTGGCCCAGATCTTTCATGTGAAAATTTGCATGCAATAACTGTTGTAGCTTAGAAATGAAACCACTGTCAGTGCCAATAATGATGATATCATCCACATAAACCAAAAGAAGTACAATACCCGAGGCAGACTTGTGGAAAAAGAGAAAATAATCATATTGACTCTATGCAAAATCGAAGGTAATGAGGGTGCTACGAAACTTCTCAAACCAAGCACGAGGGGCCTGCTTAAGCCCATGGAGAGAACATCTCAGTCGACATACATCATGAGAAGAAGAAGTAGTCATACCAGACGGAAGCTTCATATAAATCTCTTTGTGAAGATCGCCATGAAGAAATGCATTCTTCACATCCAACTGATGGAGGTCCCACGACTGGGAGGCAGCAATAGACAGAATTAGACGAACTATGGTCATTTTGGCAACAGGGGCAACAGTCTCATAATCAACTCCAAATTCCTATCTATTACCGAGTGCTACAAGACGAGCTTTGTACCTATCCAAAGAGTCGTCAGAACGAAGTTTTATAGAGAAAACCCACTCTTCCCAATAGGCTTTACGTGAGGAGGACAAGGCACAACATCCCACATGTGATTCTCCTCAAGTGCCTGAAGTTCTGCTGTCATTGCCTGCCACCAACACTCATGTTCCATGGCCTATTTGTAATAAGAGGGAATAGAAATAGAAGATAAAGTAGCCACAAGAGAAATAGAAGAGGAGAAACCATACTGATCAGGGGGACGAGAAGGACGTGTAGACCGACGAAGACATGAGAGAGCCGTACGAGGATCAGGTGCCGAGTCAAGGTCGCGAGGGAGTATAGACGGAGCAGGACCAGACTCACGAGTATGTCGTGCATACACAAGGCTCGGTTTAAATGTGCCCTAACAGATGGAGAATCAGAGAAGCTGGGCATCACAGATAAAGAGGTAGAAGGCGGCTCAACGTGAGACGTAAAAAAATATTGGTTTTCAAAGAAGACCACATTCTTAGAAATACGGATACGTTGAGAATGAGGATCATAGCAAACATAACCTTGTTGAGAGACTGTATAATCAAGGAAAGCACACTTAATAGACTGAGCAGTAAGTTTATGTCGCTCATGAGCAGGAAGATGCAAAAAACAAACACAACCAAATGTACGAAGATCATAATAAGATGGAGAATGTCCAAATAGCTGAAAGAATGGAGATGCATGATTTAAAGTAGGAGAGGGTAAACGATTAATTAAATGAACCGAAGTGGAAAGTGCTTCACACCATAAACGAGAAGGTACAGAGGATTCAAGTAAAAGTGTTGTGACCATATCGAGAAGGTGACGATTCTTTCACTCAGCAACACCGTTTTGTTGCGGCGTTGAAGGACAAGAATGCTGGGAGATGATACCCTCACGTTGAAGAAGTCCTGAAAGTCATTGGACATATATTTTCCCAGAATCAGATCGTAAGATTTTTATGCCACGAGAAAATTGAGTCTCAATGAGAGCAAGGAAATGTTGAAAGACTGAAAAGACTTCGGCTTTAGCCCTCAAAAAATAAACCCACGTAAAACGACTGAAATCATCGATGAAGGTAAAAAAGTACTTATAATGTGCGTGAAAAATAATAGGTGAAATCCCCCAAACATAACTGTGTATAATATCGAAACATTGGGAGACACGAGATCCATGAGAGGGAAAAGGTAAAGTTTTACTTTTGCCAATTTTGCACGCAGTACAATCAAAAGAAAAATAAGAAGAACATGATTTATTGCCCAAGAGATTAGAATGAAATAAAGCATGAAGTACATCGGAGTTCGGGTGGTCTAAACGTTTATGCCACAATTTGTTATCAGTACCAATAGCATTACATGCAAAGGAAAGTAAAAGAGAACGAGGGAAGGGAGAAATGTGTAAGGGAAATAGACGTCCCACTTTAGGCCCCTTCGCGATCAACTTCCCGGACACCGGATCCTGCACAACACAACCAGAACGAGAAAAATGAACATCATAATTACTATCAACCAATTGACCAACTGAAATTAAGTTTGTAGAGAGATTAGGAGACACAAAAACATCGGTTAAAGAAGAGGAAAGATCACCACCATCGCTAATAGGCAGAGAACTGCCACTAGCAGTGTGAATTTTTAGATTACCATCATATTTTCTAACATTGGAAAGAGGAATAATGGAGTTGGTCATATGATTAGAGGCCCCAAAGTCAAGAACCAAGGCTTAGAAGATGGTGTATGAGTACCTGAGAGGCCAAAAGCAGAGAAACCAGAATTGATAATTTGTTGTACCATTTCAGGAGTGAGAGTAGACATAGAAGCAGGAGCCAAAACACCGTGCGAAGCAGTAGGCAAAGTCGTGAAACTAGAGGCATCCATGGATGTATGATAGGCAGTGGAATGCTTCTTTTCAGGCCGAATAGGACAAACATAGATGTGATGACCTTGCTTCTTGCAATAGTTACAGTATTTCTTATGACAATCCTGAGAAATGTGACCAAAAGCTTTACAGTTGTAGCACTGGATTGTACGCATGTCTCGACCCTTGTTCCTTCCTTGTGCTGCATAAGCCACAGTAACAGTAGCACTAACAGAGTCCCTATGTTCCATGGTGGCCTGAGTAACTATATGTTGTTCCTCGCGAAGAAGTTTACCTAAACAAGTATCCAAATTTGGAACATGATGACGATTCATTAGATTAGACCATGCAGTCTCAAATTCAGGACGTAGCTTCATCAGAAATTGATCCCTCTTGCTTGTCTCGTGCACTGTTTGAACAGGAGATAAGGCTGCAGTGGGAACATTTGCATAAATTATATCTACATATTCAGCCCAAAGGTTTTGAAAACCCGAGAAGTATTCGTCAATCGAAAGACTTCCCTGTGTAAAATTAGCCGATGTCATACTCCAATTGAAAACGTCGAGCTGTGTTGTCTTGTTTGTAAATTTTACTAAGATAGTTCCACATAGCAGTAGCAGTCTTGTAAGGCCTCAGATTGAGAATAAGGTGAGACTCAACTGAACTAAGGATCTAGGTCATAACCCAAACATCCTTAATTTCCCACTTTGACAAAGCATCTGTATCTTCAGGAGTGGGATCACTTCCATCGAGATGACCCCACAATTCCTTACCTTTGACAAATAATTGGAATTGGAACTCCCAAGACGAGTAATTCTTACCATTAAAACGAATAAGAAAAGAATCCAACTTGTCTGATGACATGATTAAATAAAATATTTAATCCAATAATTAAATCACTCCACAAACTTCTAAGCCCAATAGAAATAAAAAACACAGCCTAATAAATTAACCGCCCAATAGCCCAATAATTCAATTCCGTAAACAATTAGTCCAAACCCGTTCTAGAGAAGCTGAAGTAATGTCGACCAGTGAAGAAATCAATGCTGACCAGAGATACACAGAAGACATAGGCAACTTTTGACTGGAAACAAGCAGAAGATTTTAGCGACCCAGACGATTGAAGGCAGATCGAGCCTGAAATGACACCCGGCTGAATTGGAAACGCGACGAAGAAGGCCGAAACGCGAAGGAGTTCGGACCACGAAGAAGAAGGCAAGAATCCACTTCTCCCTGTACCGTCCGACCGCAGCAGGTAAGAGTTCAAAACCCTAGCTCTGATATCATATCAAAAAGATCGAACAATCGAGAGAATTTCTGTAAAAATCTTGTATGCTTTTCTATTGTATTCTCCACTGTATATATAGTACANAGACTTGAATCTACTGATTCTATTATTTAATTTATTAGAAAATTAATTCAATTAAATATTAGATATTGTCATATATATGCATTGATTATATATATTCAAAGCATTTATGTCCAAAGTTGATTGGACCTAGGGCATAACACTTACACAAATTCCCAATTATATACGGTAACACTTTTGACATGAAAAAATATTGTTTCAGCTGTGCTGCTTCTCTATGCTGGAAGCTGGTTTTCAATTGTGCTTTGGCTAGCCATTGAAGTAGAAGAATAATTTCTTTGACATCGTAGGCTGGAGAATATATTTGATTAATGGAAGTTAACTGTAAGCAAAGAAGGTTGCATGCATGTCATAGCATTTGAAGTAGTGTATTATAGATGATAGTTGTTTGTCCATCAGCTACTGTTATTTGGGTACTTTTTCTGAAGTTAGCTAACATTATTTGAAGATCTTGGTATGTCAGTTGACTCATTTTTGAATCATCTTCATATCTGAAGTTGTAATACCTGAAGTGATTTTTCGAGAGTTTGTTTGAATGAATTTTTGGCAATTGATACTTTGATTCACATCACCAGTTGATTAATTTGTGCCATTTGTCCATTGTGCTTCACAATCGAGGGTACTGTGAATGTTCTACATGATTGGAAGCGAAGTTGATCAAATGCACTAGATTGCTGCCTTCTGTAGTGTTGATAGTTCAAGGGTTCAACATATCATTACTCATTTACATTGAACATGCTAACATTATCTTCAAATTGACACGTCGGGCAAAGACTAGTATTATATAAAAGAAGAATACACTGTCTTAGGGTGGGGGATCAAGCCTACCTCCCATGGACATAAAACAAAATTAGAACGTGTCGTACAAGATAAAAAGTGTATCTTAGGGTCTGTTTAATAGGTAAAGGTGGAAAGGAATTTCAATTCCATGTTAGTTGAAAAATAAAAATCCACCAAACTCATAGGAATTCGTTTTCCATGAAAACAAAGAAAATGCAGCTTAAAGTTGTTGTACATTCGAATTCAATTTTTATTTTCAAGGTGCAATCAAACGGTCAAAGTGGAATTCGTTTTTCTCGGATGTGACATTTTCCATAGAATTTGTTGCTATCAAACGGACCCTTAGTTCATATGCTATTTTCATCCCGGCAATGTCCAGAAAGTCATGATAATATTGCCTGAAATTGAATTAGCCAGGATACTTGAGGCTTTTCTTTCAAAAATTGGGTGTTTTGCTTGATATCGTATCAGAAAGTATATGAATGAATCGTCTATTCCACAACTTATATTCCTGCATATGTCTGCTCGAACTTGTCTTCCATTCCATCTGTAGGATTTTCTGTGCACCTGTAGTTGGATATCTTTTCTCCTATGCTCTCATTAAGATTTGTAGTGTCTGGTAAACTGTTGATGCACCAAAAGTACAGTCCAAATTAAATAGTCCAAAGAGTGAGGCCCAATTGGGGAGTCCAGGATAAAAGCCCAAATAAGACTATTGGTGAATGTCGAGGAAGCCCACAAATATAGTAACATCATCGCCCAAACTTGCAAGACGTCTAGAATCTGAGCGAATGGAGTGCATTACGGTTGCCCAGAGCGATAACCTCGTTCTCGCCCAAACTTTCGAGTCGCCCAGAATCTTAACACATGACATATTATGGTTATCTAGAATAGCAGTTATTCAAACAGTTTTCGAGTAGATTATCACATTCCATGATTTAAGGAGCCCATTTGAAGGCGGTTGAACGACAAAGAGTAATGACAGCAGTTAGAAATTGCAGTTCCACGACAAGTTAGTCACCATGAAGAAAGTGGGTAGTTAGAAAGCAATCAAGCAGTTTGTCACGAAGAAATCATCATGTGAATATAAAAGAAAGAAAAGACATAGAGAAAGGACCCCGAATCAAACACTCTCAAACAGAGAATATGTAATTTCAATTTCTTAGATTAACTTTAATTATTCATTTTCAGTACTCGTGTGCTTGCATCCCTTGGAGGCATTCTGTTTATTTCCAATTGTAACTTTCATCAATAAAGCACCCCTTTTTGGGATTTTATCTCAAGAGGTTTGTCCCTTACACAATCGTCTGAATTTCTTTTTTAATTGTTAGCTACAACCCGCGCGAAACAATAACACTCTCTAGTGCACTTCTAAAGAAGTTCCTTTTTGAGAATCTAATGTGAAAAAAACAAAAATAAAAATGAATTTTAGTAGCTTTGGAATTTTATTTTATTTGTTTTAAAAAATGTCCAAAATAGATTTTTAATTTATGTACTATTCTCAAAAAGTAGAACTAAAGTTACAAAGATTTAGCCCATGTTTGATTTGGTTTAAAATCAGATTTTTAGTGGATTTTGATAAAAGTGGATGAAATATTTTGTTGAAAAGTTGATAAAAGTCGTGAATCATATAAAATATGTATTTAAAAATGAGTTTAAAGATAAACGAGTTTAAAAGATTAGGGTAACATGGGCTTAATATGCCGTTGAAGCATTTATTGTAAAGTTTATTTTGTGAAGTCAATTCATGAGATGGACTTAGCCCTATTTTATTAGCGGAGTTGTCTAGATTATGGAAGTCATTCGAGGCAAGAATCCAATTTGACCTACCAACCTTTTCATTCTAACGTTTGGTATGACACCCAAGAATGGTCTTAGATTGGAGTTTGTTCGGCCACTAAATGAACAATAAAGCTCCAAGTACACGAAAATTTTAATAGAATTGATATCGACACTAACGTGGTCGAACTTAATTGGCCTTTTTTTCATCTTTCAATGCTGTCACGCCAAGGATTGTCTGTTAAAAAAATATTTACTTATATCGTGATTGGTTTGGGAAAACAAAGTAGATATATGGAGGATTAAGCAGTTAGAATTTGTTGCTTAATACCATGATATGGATGGCTTATTCTCGATTTCTGCTAGCTAGCTGATTCAGCACTTGTTCATATATTCTTTTATGTCTTATTCAATCTACCCATTACATGTATAAGTATTTTAATTTCTCTGGTAACTAATATGCCTCATGAATTTCAAGTCAAACACTCTTTACACAAACTAACGTAAGTGATGACCTCAGCACTATGATTAGAAAATAATTTTGAATTTTTGATCATCCAAACAGACCTTGGCAGTATAAATTAATTGGGTTCAGGGATCTATCTATCTACCTACTCATTCCAATCTATCATGGCAGGAGAAACCACTTCAGCTTCTTCTTTACCACTTGATGGCAGGGTAGCAATAGTAACAGGAGCTTCGCGTGGAATCGGTCGTGCAATCGCAGTTCACCTCCACTCCCTGGGTGCCAAGCTTGTCATCAATTATGCTTCCAACTCAAATCTGGCTGATATATTAGCGTCTGAGCTCAATTCTAAGGTCAATTGTTCTTCTCCGGTAGCAGTTGCAGTTAAAGCCGACGTATCAAAACCGGAAGAAATTGAAGCACTGTTTGATCAAGCGGAAAAGGAATTTGGATGTCAGGCCCATATCCTTGTAAACTGTGCTGGGGTGTTGGATCCAAAGTACCCTACACTGGCCAATACAACGGTTGAAGACTTCGACTCAGTGATTAATGTCAATACAAAGGGAGCTTTTCTGTGTTGTCGGGAGGCAGCTAACCGATTGACGCGTGAAGGCGGTGGAAGGATAATTACGATCTCAACATCAATAGTCGGAGCATCACTTCCTGGTTACTCAGCTTATGCGGCTTCTAAGGCTGCCGTAGAGACTATGACAAAGATTATGGCGAAGGAGTTGAAAGGTAGTGGTATAACTGCAAATTGTGTTGCACCTGGGCCGGTGGCAACCGAGCTTTTCTTCGCCGGTAAGACTGAAGAAACTATTAAGAGACTTGTGGATTCTTGTCCTCTTGGTCGATTAGGTGAGCCGAATGATATAGCTCAACTTGTTGGGTTTTTGGTCACTGATGCCGGAGAGTGGGTCAACGGCCAAGTCATTCGTGCTAATGGTGGATTTGTGGTTTGAATATTCTTCTCCGGTGGGCGGTAGCCCGTGTTACCATTCCCTAGTTAAGGGGTGATGAAATAAAAAATAAAGGGCTTTTTTCACTGTTTTTCCTTTTTTTTTTTTTTTTTCAAAATTTCTGCTCTATGTTGTGCACAATGTTTTAAAAATCTAATCGGCGTTGACCCGAAAAAGAAATAGGTTCATAACCTTACATGTAAAGTGGAAAAGTCCAATAAGATTGTAAACCTAGACAAGATTCATGCAATTTGGAACGTTAGAAGGAAAAATTGAAGAATAATGCTATGTGGCTCTTTTAGGGTTGCAACCATAGTTTATCTGGCGTTAGATGATATGCTTACCAACACTACTTAAAATTGAAAGACGGTTGTTGATTTTCTTCTCTCTCAATTTTTCTCTTGCGACGTTCTCAATGAGCTAGTCAAAAATCATTTTCCAGTGGCAGTTGCTTCCTTTTTGTTAGCAGATCTTTTTTATGCTTCTTTCCCCCAGACCCCAAGGGCAGACCCAGCACCCGGCGAGCCCCCGTGTCGAGAACAAATTTTTTTGGTTGACAATGAATAAACGTTTTAGATTATATACCTGGTAAATTGTTTTATTTTCAAATGTTTCTTATAGCTCAACTAGGTAGAGCTTCTATATTCATATAGGAGGTCCTATTTTCGAATCCCTTTCCCACCGTTTTTATTGTGTAAGATTTTTAATACTTTAATTTTTACCTTTTACCAAAATTAAATGGGATGGAGAGGTGATTCGAAACCGTGACTCCTCCTTAGATCAAGGAAAGCTTGACCATTGTAATACTTCTTGATTTTGATTTTAATCTACCAGAATAATATATGTTATATTTTAGCTGGTTTAATGCAATTCTAAAAATTTGAACCCATGCTATTCCTTTGAATTATACAAAACTTGGTCACAATATTATTTGGTAAATATTGATAATTTTTACAACAAAATTATATATGTTCAGTTTGAACAAAATAATTGTTATATTTAAATTTTAGACCTTGTTTGATTCTTTTTTTTTTCAAAATACATTATTCTTTCTTTTTTCAACCGTACATTTTTAAATAAAATAATATTACATTCAAATTCAAAATTTTTCCTTATTTTTAATCAAATATTTTCCATCGAATTACTATTCCAAAAGGCACTTTTTGCAAAAAAAAAGAAAAATGGGAATCAAACGAAACTCTTAATATTTTATTGCTAACAGTCGACGATCCACGGTTGCCCGTGCTGACCCAAAATCCTGGTCCGTCAATGCCTTGCGACCGAAGCTAATGACCCAATTATTTATTATTCTTTCATAGACGCCTCCAACATTANATTTTTATTTTCTTTTCCCCCTTTTTGCAAAAAAAAAAAAAAAATGGGTATCAAACGAGACTCTTAATATTTATTGTTAACAACGGCAGACGATCCACGGCCACCCGTGCTGACCCAAAATCCTGGAACGTCACTGCCCAACCCCCTTTCTTTTGTAAAACTAACTGAAAAGTTTGACAATGTTCACCGATTTCCGGTCTAACCGATAAATTATACTGGTTTTTGAACATTCGGTCATCAGGATTCAACCTAACCGGTTCATGGGCTTTCTGAATTAGCCGGGTTGGTCCGATTTTAATAACATTAGTTGTGCATTCATCAAGTCATTAATTCTCGATTTAATATGTAGACAACAACTCAATGTTGTAATGAAAATATATTACTGTTGGTGCTAATTTATTCCATGTGCAGATTCATGGAGACATTGAATTTAGCTAATGCGTTCCTCAAACCACTTAGTCTCAGGAAAGTGGTCCACCGTGTATGGGAGTAGGCCTTGGTCACGGACTGCAGCTTTACTTAAGCCCCGCGACCCTATTGCAGTCGCAGTTTGCC